CTCAAGAATACTATTCAATGGGTTGACAGCTATTGGAGTGGAGTTTATTAGGAATGATATCTCGTATAGAGTTTACGCTAACAAAGAGGTTATCGTTTCCGGCGGTAATTATTACTCAAAAATATTTATTATTATTTTAATTGAATAATTAAATCATTTTTACATTTAGGTCCCATAAATAGCCCACAATTACTAATGCTATCAGGAATTGGTCCCAAACAGCATTTACAAAACATTGGGATACCAGTCATATTGGATCTACCGGTTGGTAACAATTTTGCTAACCATCCGGCAGTCACTGTTAGCGTTAATATGAAAGATGAATATCTTAACATGGTAAATCCAGTTCCAGACCCAAATGTGCAACAATTAAGTCAACTTTATTACCATCAAAGTGGGCCATTATCCCAAAACCCTTCCTGTGCCCTCTATTACAACACACATAATAATAGTGATAATCAGTGGCCAAACGCACTGCTATTTGGAGTCCTATATAATAACACAATTAATATATTCTCAAATTTAGTCCGATATAAAAGTCGGGGGATATTACGCTTACAGTCAACTGACCCTTACATCCCACCCCTCATTGACCCCAATTGGTTGTCACATCCGGATGATAGGGAAGACCTATTGGAAGCCACGCGACATATATTTTATATACTGGAGCGCACATCCATCTCCCGTTACATCCTACCTCCCGCCGATTTATTAGCCGAAATAGGCTGTCCCGTATGCCCGGGCAGGTATACGTATGAGTGCACAGAAGGTTTAAAATGCTTCGTACAATACTATAGCACCACTTCCTATCATCCCGGCGGTAGTTGTCGTATGGGCTCAATAGACAGATCCGATGTTGTGGTCGACCCCCAGTTGAGGGTTAAAAATATGAAAAACCTAAGGGTTTGTGATTCATCGATATTCCCAACGATTCCCAACTCCAACACCGCGGCCCTCACTATAACTGTGGGCTATAAATGCGCCCAATTTATCAAGGACTGTTATCATTTGAAATAAATTTAATGTAAAATAACACAACTATTAGTAAACTAATTAAAATATTTATAAAATAATAAGATTTTTGATATAATTATATAAATAATAAACTATTTAAAGCATTTTTATGATCTGGATAGGCCGGTGCAGAATAAGCCATAAAAATATACATATCAAACTAATTGTAGCAATACTCTATCTTAATGTGTGTTAGTGCAACAATTACAATTTGAAATGTATATTTCTAGGGCTTATTCTGCACCGGCCCATCCATATGTATTTAAAAATATCATTTACACGCAAACTTGTTTATAAACAAAATAGTTTATTATGAATTATAGAAGTATTAATATTTTCAAGAATAAAAACTTAATTTAAATTTAATTAATAATTTCAATTAGTAGCATAAGATATTAGTAATTTTAAAATTTAATTTATATATACAATTATGAAATAGGGAATTACTCGTATACACACAAAATCCCGAAAAACGAAATCCCGAATTTCAAAATCCCGAAATACATAATCCCGAAAATTATAATATCAATAAAAATAATTATTTTTACTTTATGTAATGTAAAAATCATTGAGATTATTTAGTTTTACTTGACTAGTTATTATACACTAGTAAAATTCAGCCAATAATTACAATATTGAATATTTGAGGAGATATTTATTTACTAATATAACAATAACTAACTTTTAAATAATTATTCTAATAATATCAATGAATTTTACATTACAAAAAGAAAAAATAATTATTTTTATTGATATTATAATTTTCGGGATTATGTATTTCGGGATTTTGACTTTCGGGATTTTGATGTACTCCCGGAATTACTGCATAAATTTGTATAATTTTTTAGAAATCTATTAAAGATTTTTAAATGTGCAAATTTCTTAAATTATAAACATAAATGATTATACTAATAAAATTAACCTGCTGAACTTTAAAAATATACGTTTAAAATAAATCACAATTAAAAGACAAAAAAATATAAATTATGATAGGAGTTTCAGTGTTAACAAATAAACTACCTGTCCTCTCGCGGCATAAATCTAAAATATTTCACTTAAAATCAATTATATGAAAACATATTTAAATAAAAGTATACCATATTATGATAAACAATTATGAAAATTTCAATTTATGATTATTAAAACACATCTAAAATCAGATTGACAGTGGCACTATAACCATGATGAATCCTTTATTAATACCATCCCCTCCACTATCTGTCCAATGGTTTACAGTATTCTCGTTATTATTACAAAAACAACAAATTCATGACTCGTTTGCAAATCAGTTTCAACTGAAGCCGTCGTATGACTACATAGTGGTGGGGGCCGGGAGTGCCGGCTCTATAGTGGCCTGTCGTTTGGCTCATGAAATGGGAGACAAGGTTTTGCTGATAGAGGCCGGTGTTGGACTGGACGCAGTGATTACAGACTTCCCTGGTATGTTTATCAATAACCTCAAGACCCCGTCCCGTTTCTGGCCGTATGTCAACGAACCGCAGCCAGAGGTGGGACAGGCGTACGGAAACAGACAAACATCAGAAGCTAAGGGAAAGGCATTGGGGGGCAGTTCAACGGTTAACTTAATGATATACAACAGAGGGAACCGTAAGTATTACGACAGTATTGCTCGTGATTTCGGTGCCAACGGTTGGAGTTTTGAACAATTGTTGCCGTATTTCAAGAAATCAGAGAATAATACCGATCCTAATGTCGATCCCATATATCACGGTCGCAGTGGACCGGTAGGTGTGTCCACTCCATCAGCAATTGATACACCTTTACTTCATTGGCAAAAAGCACTGACAGAACAGGGCTTTCCAGTTGTGGACTTGAATGGGCCGACACAGTATGGCACGAGTATTATGCAGTCGACTATCAGGGATGGGATGAGACAATCTACTGCCAACTCATATTTGGAATTCTCTGATATATGCCCTGATATTAATATAGTAACAGGGGCATTTGTCACTAAAGTGCTTATCACAGGACAAATGAACAATGCAAAAGCATATGGAGTGGAGTTTAAAAAAGGAAACCGTATATATCGTGTTATGGCTAACAAAGAGGTTATTATTTCAGCCGGTAAAATTACTTATCATATACAATAAATATACACTATAAATTATAAACTATAGCGTAGACTTACTCTGAATTAGGTAGATGAACCTGAGTGAAATACAGTATTTCAAGTTTGTAGGATAATTAAAATATTCTCACACTACTTTTAATTCTCAAATACAGTATTATATTTACCAGTATAAAGTATATTATAACAAAAATTATAAATAAAAAATATTAGCAATTCTTATTAATTTCCTAAGATTTTATAATTGGAGTTTATATATAGTATTATTATTAGTAAGACTTTAATGCATCATTAAGGTACCATTGGCTCATCACTTTTATTATTGTGGTCTGGTATTGGCCCCCGAGAGCACCTACACTTACTTGGACAACCAGTTTACGCTGACCTACCTGTAGGTCAAAATCTCCAGAATCACGTGGCAGTGGCCATACCTATGCTTATTAGAAATACAAGTAGTGTATTGCCAACTCCTGAACTTAATGTTCCGCAAATGTACCAGGCACTATTTGAAAATATGGGGCCATTAACACAAATGCCCGTCTCATACCTGTTGTACAACTCAAGTGTAAACCCTGACTGGACTTACCCTGATATTGCCATTCATGTGTGTGTAGTTAATCAGGGAGAATTTGGATTTAAAAATGGCAAACCTATGGGAGTCAGACTCAACGAATGGACTCAATATTTCCGACACCTATCGTATAACAACTACTTGGAAGTGATTGCAGTCCTATTCAGACCTAAAAGTGTGGGTAATGTAAGGCTCCGATCTCCCGACCCTCAGGTGTTGCCTATTATTGAGGAGAATTTCCTGAAGCACCCGGATGACAAACAGGCACTTTTGGACGCCATACGCTATGCTTATTATGTGATCGAGGAGACATCAGTCTCAAGAGATGTGTACGTAAACCCACAACCATTCCCAGGCTGTACGTACTGTCCGAGTGGACCGGTATGGCAGTGCACGTCATACCATATTTGTATTATAAGAGAAGTGGGTAGAAGTTTTCAAAACCCTGTGGGCACCTGTCGTATGGGTGGACAGCATAGGACTGATGTTGTGGTCGATGAGAGACTTCGGGTGCGAGGAGTGAGTAGTTTGCGAGTAATCGATACGTCAGTATTTCCCGCAGTTATTAACGCCAATGCAAATGCGGCCGCACTGGCAGTGGGGGAGAAAGGGGCTGATCTGGTGCTGGAGGACCACCGGACACAGTTTGGTAGTGATCCCGGTTATGACCAGAGTTGGAAGGTTTCCGGTTAATACTAACGAGAAAGAGATTGATAAGAAAAATAAATTATAATTAAGATATAACTTATTTGTCTCAACACGTGAACATATAACTGAACATGTTTAACATTTTCCGATAGAATGACCCTTATCCAATAATCTAATTTGTAACTAATTTCAAAAAAGAATAGTATTATAAATATAAATACCAGTATAACTTCAGTATTTATAACTTATGTTATGCAGCATAAATTCTGTACACAGCAGGTATGTCCATAATGTCTATTAAAATAATGTTTAAAATTAAAAAACTAGTGAGAATTATTACCTAAATGTATGTTTTTGGAATTCACAGGTACAATTTAAAATGTTTAAAAAATTATTTCCTCAAAGTTGGATTAAAATAATTTATCTAAATAAAACATAAAAAATTATGCCAGTAAATATATTTTATATTTATGCATACTTTTAATTGGTTATTTTTATATAATACTTGAGCAAACCTGGATCCATTGATAATACCCTCCCCTCCACTGACCCTCCAATGGTTGACAGTATTCACAGTACTATTACAGAGACAACAAATACACGACTCGTTTGCAAATCGCTATCAATTTAACACGTCGTATGACTACATAGTGGTGGGGGCCGGGAGTGCCGGATCTATAGTGGCCTGTCGTTTGGCACATGAAAAGGGTAACCGAGTGTTACTACTGGAGGCGGGCGATGGACAGGACTCAGTGATGACTGACTTTCCCGGTATGTTTGGCTATAACCTCCAGAACCCGTCCCGTATTTGGCAGTACGTCAATG